AAAGCAAGGGTCAACTGGCGGTGGATTCTTGTCTTAGGAGTTATGAAAGTAAACAGGCTGCGTACATTATAAATGAAACACAACATGGGATATTGTGTCTTACAGAAGCTTCTTGAGGCACTGCTGGAGCAGACCCCGGAGCGAACTGATGTATGAGGAGTCAAGCTGTCTCAGATCCTCTGTAACCTCCTCGTCCTCCGTCTGAACCTGAAAGAAAGCGCTGAACCCTTTGGATGCAAAGAAAACTCGGTCTAAAGACATAAATACACATCATATTCGACATACTCTATAAATCCGTGTCTTATTTAATTGCCTTTCCACAGCATTCACTGCTACAGTAATTACATGTGCTCTCTGGGGGTCATCATAAGTAATGCAACTCTTTTGTGAATTCCTCATTGAAACAAACAGCTAATTGTCATTATCATGAATTATTGCAGGAATGCTTACATACTACTCAGTATGATGTACAACTTTATGGTGCGCAAGATGGGTAAATTATTTAAAAATAAATCACTATTGAATGATTGTTTACTAGTTTGGCAAGGCAGATTGATTTGTAAAGCACCTTTTAATGACAATGCAATTTAGAGTGCTTTGCATAAGACACACAATCATTAAGAAAATGGGAACGCATATAAAGGATTTAAAGAGTGTTAAACTAAATGTAGAACTATTTTTAAAATATTTAAGCTATGCATAAAGCAAAAGATCATGCAGGTATTTCAAACACAAACTCAGTAAATGCAATCTTTCACAGTAACAGACACAGAAACAGACATCTGAAAAAAGTGAGTATGCACACATTTGACACCATGTTTGTATACATCAAAAATCAATAGCATGACATGCAATCAGTTTTATATCCGTTTACTAGCTGAAGCATTATTAAAGCAGGTGTCATAAAAACGGCAGGCCACTTTACAACAAATCCAGCATCCACTGAGGCGAAGCCTGCGAGCTAGTTCAGGCAGTCAACTCGAGCACCAATGATACATTAACACGTGACGCACCTCGTCCCTCTTACAACCAACCAAACACATTCTCCTAAACATGCCGCTCTTTTTAAGCTGCCAGGTCTTCCTGCCTCTGCCTCGCTATGCTGCTGCTGCCACTGCTGCGTTCACTTGCTATTGCTGCTGCGTTCATGTTCCTGCTGCTGTGTTTCATGTTGCTCCTGCTGCTTGCCTGCCCCACCACCACCCCAGCTTCCACCCCAGCTTCCACCTGTAGGCTCGGGGGATAGTTATCTAATCGTCACTCAATGTTCTTTGTAAACCTGTGGAGTGACGAGGCTCGAGCCTAGATGCCAAACTCAAACTATATGCTGCTTCTAATAAACATATTAAGAACACGTGAGTTGTCTGACTGAACTGTTGTCACATCCAAGGTGAGAACATGCAAAGCGTAGTGAATTTACATTTTTAAAGTTGTGTGTTTCCATAGCATCACAGTTAAATGCCTATAAAGCAAATGTAAATCCACTCAGTCCTCTGACATTGAGGCTGTTATACACATCTTAATAAGTCGCAGAGGGAGCAGGTATCTACGTTTTTCTTCAAGCTGAGGGCTCTCTGTCACGTCTCAGTGTTTCCTCCACTGTGTGCGGCTTGATGGACTTTCATGTGAAATAATCAGCCTCACCTCCTTTCTCAGGGTCTTTTTCACCATTGTGATTGAGATGAAATTGCTGAATGATTTGTCATTACATTGTAATGGGAATCACCTTGTTGTTGTTTCTGCTCTGTTTTCAGACCAAAAGAGCCTCATGAGAGACTCGATGCCTCTGAGGAAACACTATCCAAATGTGTAGTGCTATTAAGGTTCCCTGAAAATAACTGGCCACTTTAATCTTGCACAGCGACAGCAGACACACAGCGGATGATTATTCACTTTTGCTATGGAGAAGTGAAAGTTTGTTCGAATGGAGCAACATCCCTGAAAAACATTCATATGTCTAATGTCCCTCGAAGGGCCATGCGCTCGCGGTGTCCTTGTCCTTCAGAGATGCCAGAGATCTTGCGATAAATTTATCAGCATGATGGATAAGTGACATGTCCTGTCACAGGGCCGAGACAACCAAGAAGAGCCTCTGATCACACAGTAACATGTGACAGGCATGAAATACTGATCTTGAATACGAAGCTCATGGAGATCGCTCGACGACATTGGCTGCAATTAAATTGACAGAAAATTCCATTCTGAAACTCTGTTCCTCAAGAGAAACCTGGTTAAGGTTGACCCATGTAAACACCATATAACCCCACATCATCATCTTCAGAGCACATATTTTAGATGCCTGGCCGTTACTGTGTCATTGAAACATCTCAGTGCTTCTACGCCTTGCATACACAGCATTGTGGGTACATTTTGACTTCAATAAATTACTACATTTGGGATATTCATGTATTCCTCTTAGTAGAAAGATAAGGATATGTTAATAATTTCTTCACCTGGTTTTCTGTCATTTGAAGAATGATGCCGATGATGATTATTATGATAGATAATGAAATTTAAAGCTTATAAGCAAGCTCTTTCTTCCCTTCCATGGCTTTCTAGTCAACACGTGGTCCAGGTACTACGTAATCTAATATTTACACTTAATATGCTAACCAATGTAGCTAGGTGACATGCCAGGCTTGTTAAAGGTGTAACATGTTAACACATTAGCATGCTAGCTCGCAGCACAGCTGAGCCTAAGTACAGTGAGGCTGTCCAAGTATACCTGCTGCCTATATCTATGTTTATGTATCATATCATATTTAACCTTAGTCATGTGCTAGTGCCTTAGCATAAATCTGACACTTGCCAGATACGTATAATAATTGACACCATTCTCTAAAAAGATACACCATTATCTTCAATGAAGTAAAGTCAACATACAATCTAAGGAACGTAAAGTTGCGTGATGTTTTTTTCTCTTTGATGAGTAGTATGGCCTTACATTGGTGCGGTTGTAGAGCTTTAGTCTCGATACGTAATTTGTGCTAAGATTTATGCGGCTACAAATAAATATGAAGCGTGCTGACGCCTCTTCTCTTTCTTTGATCATGGTCATGAGAAGAATACTGATGGTCGGCTCAGTAGTAGCACCGCTGCCCATGTGTAGTGCGGCTCTGACTCATCAGCTGTGAGGAGCAGTGGGGGCTTCGTGTTGTTTCTGAAAGGAGCTCACACAATAATAGCAAGCAGCATAATGAGCTAGCTATTGGTTTTGTATATTTTATGTCGACATCTTCTTTTTGTATGTACTTTTAAGTGCTATCTAAACCCATTATTTTACTCTGCGTTTGTGTTAGCTGAAGCAAATACAATGCAACTAATTAATTATGTTTTAATCAGAGAAGTGGGTCATAACTGTTAAATGGCTTCATTTGTTTGAGATAATGCTTAGCTCCTAAAAGCACTGTTGTGTGTCTTATAATATTAATCAACTGCAAAACAACCTGCTTTAAGGAATATAGGCATTATACAGAATATGCTACATTAATTTATAGTGAAGAAGATGAATTGGTGTACATAGCTACACAGCTCGTTAAACAAGACGTTGATTGGTGAAACATATTTACTTTTCTGCAACCGAATTAAATAAACCTTGAATTTGTTTTTAAACAGTGCCAAATAAATGTCAGACTTGAAATGAATCCTTGTTAATCGTCTAAGGAAATATAACTTTTATTCTTTAATAACTGAGGTGTGTAGGTTTTAATACATGTTTAAGCGCACAATCCGCAACACTTGGTAATCTGTCATCTGCCTGCGGTTCTAGTGTAAATTATACAAGCAACGCGCAGACATTCACCCAAGGCCAAAAGTCAAAGAGTTATTCAAAAAGAAGACGCATGATGGTCTTGTGACCTTCATCGTATGTCGACATTGACTCTGCAGTGGTAGGGTGAATAAGGGATGGACGGGAGGAGGAGTGCAGAGCGCTGGTGGGTGATTTTGTAGAGTGGACTGGAGGAAATCATCTGCTTCTGAATGTGGCCAAGACCAAAGAGATAGTCATTGATTTCAGGAGGAAGAGGATGTCTCCTCCTCTGCCCCTGTGCATTCTGGGAGAGGATGTGGCTGTTGTGGAGGACTACAAGTACCTGGGAGTGCACTTAGACAATGGGCTGAACTGGAGGATCAACACTGACGCTGTGTACAAGAAGGGGGTGAACAGACTATTTTCTGAGGACGCTGAGATCCTTCCACGTGTGCAGCAAGATGCTGGAGATCTTCCACCAGTCTGTTGTGGCCAGTGCACTCTGCTTTGCTGCGGTCTGCTGGGGGGGGGGCAGCATAAGAGCCGGTGACACCAGCAGGATGAATAAACTGATCAGGAAAGCTGGGTCTGTCATCGGCATCAAGCTGGAGCCCTTTGAAGCTGTGGTGGAGAGGAGGACAGGCTGCTGTCCATCATGGATAACCCCACCCATCCTCTCCACCTGCAGCTGGACAGTCAGCGGAGCTCCTTCTCCAACAGACTGCTGCAGCTCCTCTGTCTCAAGGACCGATACAGGAACACATTCCTGCCCACTGCAATAACTCTGTACAATAAATCACCTCTGGCTGGAAGAGAACTCTCTGCTCCATAGTTTCTCTTGGAATAAAACCTCGCTGTACATTTTACACTTATATAATCTGTTCAATATTTTATATTTTATATTCCATATGTCATATATTTATTTATATATATATTTGTATATATAATATCTTCATGTATATTTTCCCTTTCAACACATCTATTTTATTTTATTCTCTTTCTATTCTTGTTTATTTGTAGTTTTGTTTTATT